CGGTTGAGCTTGGAACGATTATCGTTTTCTCGATATGTTTAAGAGATATGTTTGCGTGGGAAAAATTGACTTTGTCAAAGCGAATTATTGACGTGCAATAGCGCATCTGCACCACAAAAATGGCAAAAAAAGTAAACCGCTACAACAAGTTGATTAAACCCATTACAATTGGTTATTACCAAACCCGCTACGACTGCATCGGCTTGAACCCGTTACAACGGCTTCTGAATATACCAAAAGTACGAGTATTATTCTTGGCAATGAATCCGATACAACGGGTTGACTAAACCGTTACAGTCGAACCCGCTTCAATGGGTTCAACTTCAACCAGTTAAAGCGGCTTCTGAATATACCAAAAGTACAAGTATTATTACCTGCTACAACGGGTTCAGCTTCAACCCGTCAGAGCTCTTTCAAAATAAAATAAAAAGTACAAAGTGTTTGTACAGGAATTTGAAATAAATTTATTGCCAGAGATATCGGCAGAGCTACTTTTACCGTGACACTCGCGCGTATGGTAAATATAGCAAAACGATGAAACAGTTATTAATTAGTTCAATTCATTTTGTTTGTGTTCATAATGAGATTTAGTGATTGGAAATGTCAAACAGTTAAAAAAGCTTGCCGAACTGGTATCTTTTTCTTATATCTTTCATTGTAACAAAAAAATCTTTTTCAAATGATAAATAATACAGTGTTCTGAGTACAACTCAACAATGTAATGTATATTGTATAATGTATACTCAGAAGTCTGAGAAAACTCCCTGTTAGATCTGAAAAGCCTTTAATGAGTTTTAGTGTAGTTCTCTTTGTCTTTAAGTTTGTTTATAAGTGTTCTATAGCTTTTGTTTCGCTCGTTTCAGTCTAAGTATTTTCGTCATTGTTTCGTCATTTAGTCTTGTCCCTTAGGAGCTTTCGTACGCCTTATATACGCCCTCTATGTAAATACTTAGTTGGTGCTCGCAGTTTCGTCCCTTCGTACACAAATGTAAGTTATTCGTTTCAATAGTTCTTATCGTTTTGCAGTTTAATGTTTCTTAGTTTTTCCTATTTGTCATACGTACTAAGTTATTTATCTATTTAATGTATTTATTCAGTCTTTACCGTACGTTTTACGTATGTGTAAGAAATAAAATCAAGAGTATGGGACAAGCAGTGAGAACACTCCCCAAGATGGCTTTAAGTGGAGTTGAAACCCCAACGATGCGCTGGGATGGCGAAAACATCCGAGAAGAGTGGCGMCGTTTCAAACAACACGCTGAATTAATGTTTACAGGCCCGCTCAAACCAAGGAGTGAAGCAGAGAAATGTAGCTATCTTCTAATTTGGGCAGGCCAAAAGGGCAGGGACATCTTCAACACATGGTCAGACATCACAGAGGAAGATAAAGGTAAACTCCAGATATATTATGATCGATTCGAACAGCATGTCAGTCCCCAATCCAACCCAGTATTTGCAAGATACAAATTCCATAAACAGGTCCAAAACCAGGCGAGCCAATAGAAGAATTTATTACTGACATTCAAAAGTTAGCAAAAGATTGCGAATTTAAAGAAGAAAGCGAAATGCTCTGTGATAGGATCGTCATCGGCACACGAGTAGAAAAAATCAGAGAAATCCTCAAGGAAAGAGTTGGAAACGATGGCAAGCAAAATTCAAGAAGATATTCCTGTACAAATGCACGTCGTACGCCAACAAACAAGGAATTCCATCAGTCAAAATCCACAATATCCAAGATGGCCTCCGAAAACACAGGAACCCCAAGCCAAGCAAGGCGCGAAATCACAGGGATCCCAGGAAAACTACAGACACGGACCACAGGTATACCGAAGCACAAAATGCTACAATTGTGGAGGCGCCCATAACAGATCAGAAAGATGCCCGGCAAAAGGACAGTTTTGCCATTACTGTAACAAACTGAACCACTTCACACAGGTCTGCAAGCAGAAAAAGCAAGTAAGTCAAATTGAGAGCCACGATGAAGACCAGGACCAGTTCGACTCCCTGACATTCCTGTCCATTACATTAGACATAGATCACATTACTGAGGATGAGCCAAGCAGTCGATATTCGTGACAGTTGACGTGGAACTACCCCAACAGAAGCAGCTTCAGACGAAACTCAAAGTCAAAGTCGCCACGGGGGCTCAAGGGAACCTCTTGCTATTTGACTATACCGTCAAATGTTTCCTGAGAACATCGATCACGCCGGTCAGTAGCATTGGTACATCAGTAGCTCTCCACTGCTGTATCCCTCCTGCTCTCGAAGCCATATTAGCTTGACAAACTCATGCCTAAAGATTTTTTTCCAGCGGTTTTGATAGGTGGTATTTTGGCTCAGCCTCATCAACATGATATGCTTGGCTTCTCGTCCGTCCATTGTATTGGTTAGCAATCGTTGGGAGTATTCTTCATAAAAAAATTTAGTGTGAGCTGGAATGATGTGTCCCATTGACCAAACTTTCATTTGTAATATATGCGATATGACCGGGAGATCTTGATGAAGATTTAAAACAGGGAGCTGCAAGCGAGGTGTTTCAAACCTCATTCAGATCGAACACAAATATTTCATGTTACTTATCAAATGTCTACATTACTGCTTTTATTTCGGATTAAAAATTTTAAAATTAAATGTAATTTGGCCGAGATATTTCAAGGCGAATCTTGTGCAAATCAGGACAAATTCTGTATTAGGATTTAAAGAGGCCTTCATAGTATTGATTTTGTATTATTTTAGGGTCGTGGAATATTAATTAATTCGATAAGTTTGATATATTTTTTTTAAAGTTTTGATAGTTTTTTTATTTTAGTGTTATCTTGCCTTCCGTCACCTATAGTCTGGTTATGAGCTCGCTGCAGTAACTCTGAGTTATTTGTGTCAATTGAAAAACTCCACTGCCGTGCAGCAAAGTTAATTTATGATTTAAAGGATACATCCCATGAAGACTCCCTCAATACAGCCTAATGGCATTCTTTGGCTTATATTTACAAGACTAAATTTTTTAAATTAATTCATAGTGGTTAAAATAATTTATTAACGAAACAAATGAGCATAATTGACAGGAGGAAGTCGAAATATTTGCTAAGGGGGTCTCACATCTAGGTACCTAGGATTTCATCTCGTTACTTAGAACAATCTATTAGTTATAGAGGAGCTGTTCTGTGAAACACAATTACATCAAAAACCTCTGATACTGCTCTTGCTTTTCGTAAGACTAAAGATTTTAGATTAAGTAAGATTAAAGAATTTCATAATTTTCATTTTAGGGTATTATCTGTTTCTACAGTTAATTTTAGTAAGCAGGACTATAAATATTCTTAAGCATTTTTAGGAATTTTTAGATGATTAATTTTAGGTCAATATTTATTTGGTTTCCTTTCTATTTTTATTGTATTTGATTTGAGATGCACGACCCCATAAGCGCATACTTTAATTAAATATCGTGTGAAAATAAAGTTTATGTATGTATGTACGTATGTACGTACGTACGTACGTACATACATAGATAAACTTTATTTTCACATATTAATTCACGTACCTACGTATTCTGTTTTGTGCTATTTTAAAATAGATTGCAAGTGCAGTTGATGTAAATAACAAAGATGAGGTTGATCCTGAACTGACAATTGGGATTTTAACTGAGTGTGGATTGAATACTGCTTTAACTGTAACTATGCAAATTGTATTTTTGTTTGAAAAGATATTAAGGTTTGTAATTACATGTCTTAGATACCCTGTAATTCAAAGTATTATATCTGTCTAATTTTTTCTGTTTGCTGATTGTTCAGTTTTATTCAAGTGACCCCAGTTAAAGTAGCATCACTGTAATAATTACAATTACCACGTTAATGCATGACTTCATTCTCATTGAGCAGTCGTCTAAGGTGAGTTTCCCAACAGTGGAGTCAAGATCTCCAGTTGTAAGATAATTATACATTCCAGGAGAGAAGACAGGTAGACCAGGGCCCTCCTGTAAAACACTTTGTACGATGATCATTCCTCGTAATTTTAACATGCCTGTTGCCATGATGTTAGAATTATAGACTGGATGCCTATAATCTTCTCCCTGAAAAAATTCATTTGATATCAGAGCAAGCAACTGAGTGATGAAATTCTGTGTCACACCACCAGAGCCTGCTGCTGGCTGATCTTTAAATACAATGAGGATTTGTTTTCTTGGGTCAAAATCCGGATCTTTGTAGTATACAACTGCATCATTGAAAATATCTTCTTGGTCAATTGTCAGTTTAATCTTTTCGTTACTCATTTGCCCCATAACTCTGCCAAGATTGACTGTAAAGATGTTGCTTTATTGGATTTATTTTTGGTGATTCTTTTGAAGAGAGGGGAAGGCTGCATTAAGTCATCATTACTGTCATATTCTGCTTCATCATGGCTAGATAGTGATAGGACAACTTGTGATACAGAGCCATGGGATGACAGAAGGGCTCGCAAATTTGCTTCACTTTGATTAGGGAACATTTCCTTTAGGTGGTCTACTTCTTCTTCTGGTGTTGAAATTGTTGATGAACCAGGCTGAGGATTCGAACTTGACTGGAAATAAATAAAAGAAAATAGGGAAATTCCGAAAGAGTTAAATGTACATTGAGTTTAGAGACAAAAAACTAACTTTTGGGAATGCTATTTTTTGACACACAGCAACACTCTTCTTGATGATGTGTGCTTTTCTGCTGTTGTTAAGCTCAGAAAATGGCTTCCTAGCCTGCATGAAAGGTCTGGTTTCCTTAAGCAAATTTTGACGTAAGACGCTTTTTTAAGAAGTTGAAAGGGCCAAAGCTTTATCAATCCTTACGATCCTGGCCTGTAGTTTAGAAATGTTTTCTTGTTGATTTTCAGTCATACGGCAAAATGACTGAGTAGCCGTAGGGACATTCAAATTAACACTTGTCTCTTCATTGAAGATAAATTGAGGTATTCTTGGTCTCTTTTCGGATGGGGGAGCATAAAAATGAGTGAAAAAAGCTTGAGACATGTTGTTTTCAATACTCGAAGTGTACACGTCGGGGGGCTTGCTGCACTGGTTGGACCGTTGGGTCGAGCCGTATCCTGTATTCTCCATCCAGTTTTCCAACACCTTCACTAAACACATTTGGRAATTTGGCGAAAAGCTCTTCCTTTGATATGGGTGTACTTTGGGTCTCTACCGAGTATATTGGCGCTCCGTTAACATCGGGCTTATTCAGGAGGTCGWTGTCAGTGTACTGGATAATATTCATGCGAATACAGSCCCTGCGGCCCAGGATGGGGCGAATGTCCTTGTTATCTACTACTTTGCAGTCAAGTAGACACGACGTTTCGTTTCTCCAAACACGGAGGCACACTTCACCGACCACTGCGATCTTTGCTCCTCCATAGGCCACCAGTGATGTTTGTACGGGCTTCRTCTGTACTGATTCGCAATCCTTTGTTGCTTTCTTGTATATGTGTAGAGGTATCACATTGCACTGGGCTCCCGTATCCGGTTGGAATCGTAYGAAACAGCCTGTCTCTAATTTCAAAGTGACCAGCTGCGAATCATCTAATTTGACAGCAAGTATCTCATCAGTCTGATACATTTCCGATTCAGGGTCTTCCTCCTCCTCGGTGACATTTATTTCTTGTCTACACTTGGATGCAAAATGATTCATTTCTTGTCTACACTTGGGTGCAAAATGATTCTTTTTCCCACATCTTCGGCATTCTTTCCCGAATGCTGAACAGGATTCCCGATTTGCAGCGTGACGGTATCCACAGTTATCGCATTCTTTGCTCTGTTCTGTGCTTTGTCTTTCATTTGACGACTTCCGACGTGAGGCATTCCTTGGCTTCCTGTGTGTCGTTACCCGTTCGTTGTAGAATTTATTTACTTCCGAGCCGGTATTGTTGCTATCTTGGACGACTTTCATCTGTTGTATCATGCTTTCTGAAGCGCGACATATTTCGTCGGTCTTGGATAGTGTCAGCCATGTTTCCCTCAGCAACCTTTCGCGAACTTTGGCGTCTTTGATTCCAAAGATAAGGCGGTCGCGTAGTATTTCATCAGGAGTTATTGTGTCAAAATCGCATCCTTCTGCTAGTTTGCGTAACGCTGTCTTGTATTGGTCGTATGACTCTCCTGCTTCTYGTATTCTTGTATTAAAACGATAGCKTTCGAATGGTACATTCTTGCGTGGCTGACAGTACTCCCCAAACTTCCTCAGAACTCGTTCGATTTCAGTCTCTTCATCCTCATCCTCGTTTTCTGAATCACTGAATGTCGAGTAAACATCACGGGCTTCTTCTCCAATTACCGTGATCAGTGTTGCGACCTGAACGGCTTGAGGCTTCCCATTCAGCTCTGTTGCTACGGAATAGTTTTTCCAAGCTAATAAGAATTTCTTCCATTTCTCTGCGGCTTTAGCATCATGAATATCCAGCGGCGGTGGGGGCGGTAGTCTAAATCCCGAGGCCATTTCTGTCTTTGTTCCCTTTTTTTTTTCTTGTACTAACGTGGAGTCGACTCACCGGCTGCCACCATGTATAATGTATACAGTGTGTATACAGTAAATGSTTTATTACGAACTCTTACATACAGTTAAACACAAGATCACGAGACACTGATAAGCACGAGCGCTATATATATATCAAGTACGTGTTGCTCAACTGTGTAAACGTCATAGTCACACAACAACTTGTCACAGCATCGGAGTGCACTAATTACCCCGTGTTTCCTGCATTTTGCGGAAGTATGACCAGTAGTTGATGTTTCCTTTTTTTAGCTCCGACAAACAATGTGCAGGTTTTCAAAAGTCGAATCAGCAAAAATTAGTCATCCAAATTTGGCTCTCGCTTGCGATAATTATGGATTTGCATAACAAAGCAATCTTGTCGAACGCTGGCAAAGTCCATGAATATGCATATTTTTGCAAGTTGCAAACCATGTTTGGCTAGGAAGACTAATTTTGGATTAGCTCTATTTGACTTTTAAAAATGTCTTGGCGATTAAATGAGTTTCAAGGTGTCTACCGATATGGAGCTGCATATCCATTACAGAAACAAATACAGTGGTTTCGCGATAAACCTTGAGATCAATTTTTCCCTTTACAATTTATTTTCTTAGCACTTGTGTCGAACGAACAATTCACGATGAACTCTGAACTCACACACACTACTGCAACTCCTTATATAGTCTTTTACAATCTTTCTAGAATGTTCTAACATTACATCATAGAGTTTTCCAGAAATTACGATAAACAAGTCAAGCTTAATCTATAAATAGACATTTTATAATCCTAACTTACTAGAACTTTCTATAACAAGGACTAATCAAGAATGTCCTGGAAATCTAGAATATTCTATAAAACGTGCTTATAATCATTTCTTCTGTCCATACAGATTATAGTCACCTATATTAACCTTCAAAGTGTCACTGCTACAGCAAGGATTTGTTAGGTGAGCTACAATTGTGTAAGAAATACAGTAAACCTATTTGGTACAAAAGCTACGTTTATGCCACAAGTTCATGAAAATTCGCGACCGAAGGTCTTCCCCCGGTGGCTTGAAACATATATCGTTGTGAAGCCATTGTCGTAATGTATCCAAAAATGTACATAAGGGAAATGCAACAAATGGTTGTACACAATATTAACCTTTTGCCAGCGCAAGCTCCATCATTGTCAGCCATCCGGGGTCTACTCTACTAGTCAAATATAACCAGAAAAAAAAATGCATCGAGGTTGAAAATGAACGGTTTTCGCCATACATACAACAGAGGCGCCAGGAGTTTATTCGCTGGAGTAGATCCTAGGGCATTGTATTTTTTCGACGAAACTGGATTTGCTTCTGATACTTACTTACGTGTATATGATCGCTGCGAGAGTGGTTACGCCCTGCCCTCCTACCAAGCTAAAAGTACAACAACCTATCATTCAGTCGTGCGGGTAATAGGCTTTAAAGAAGGAACTCTAACCGCTATACCTATAGAAGGCAACTACAACATAGTGCTTCTCAACGAAGTCATACAGAATCAGGTATTGCCGTTACTTATTGCTACTTATTGGCCGATAACGAAAGCATACTTAACGATGTGCAATTAGTCAATATCTTAGCAGTCAAAAACATCACGCTAGTTAAGTTACCTGCATCTGTTGTTGATTCATTTGTTCAAATTTCGCGGGTAGCAGTGAGGAAATATTACAAAAGGTCTTGGAAAATTGTAAGTTAACTAGGAAACAAAGCTGATCACGAAAATATATGCTAAAAGCGGACGGCAAAAGTGGCAATAAAGTATACAAAAAATTCAAAGGCATTTCTTGTCGTTGAGGTGTCCTGCGTCTATTGATTTTCGTCACTTGGGAAAAAGAATTGGATAACAGCAAAAGCGGATCCAGCCAAAATTTTAGGGGGGGGGGCAATTCGAGTTTAGGGGGGGGGGCTAATTGAGTTTCTTCCGTCAACACAACGGAAAACAATAAAAACTAGACCCTGTCAGCAGGGTATGCTGGGATACCTGGAAGGGTTGAGTGTAGGACCTGGTTTCAATATGCATTAAGTGTTTTATAGTTGGTTGAGTTTGCAAAAATACTGACAAGGTAATGATAAACCAGACCCTGGTTGGGACGGTTTAATAGTATCAGACTCTCTGAGAATCTAAAGGAGAAGAAAAAATAAGTTGCAAAATTTCGAACGACAGTGTTGAAAGCCGTTTAACCTGGTTTGAGGCAGAGCGTTTATGCCATACTCATCAAAGTCATGGAATAACTCAATCTGCAACTGCAAATCCAATTCCAGTCCAGATCTTGGCGAACGTAACTAGGTTGATGTGTGACCATGTTTCAAAAACATGTACATTCGAACGGCTTACTTTAAAATCAAAATGCTTCATTTAAAAAGTATATACAGGCTAATATTTGCTCAATACCTTTCTCATAATTGGTCTACATTTATAATTTGTCTATATTTTTCAACTGGACCCTGTTAGCGCAGTTTACTCATGCCCATGGGTTTTGTAGGTTTTGGTTGGAATGTAATTTGTGCGAGGTTTTGAAAATTTGTATAGGAACCAATGTGCCAATGCTGTTTGGTTAACAGTTCGGGAAAGATGTCTGGAATGCATTTAAAGATGGTGCTGTGAATATATTTTTTTTTATTGAATAGGAATTGAAAAACAAGGTAAATTGTTATGATTTTCTGGCCTGCACATGATTGTAAGTTTTTTGAGACGTTTTTATCGTTATTTGTTTGGGTTTTTTTTGTAAATTTCTGTAGCATTGTGTATGTGACGGC